TTATCGTCTCCGATCCGCCAAGCGGAAAACGTAGGTTAGCAGTCTCCTCGTCGACACAAAACGCGGCTTCGAGGACGACGGTTTTTAAGTTCAATTTTTGTCGTTTCGCGCGGTTTTCGTTCCTTTGCCCGAGCTGCCCGAGTCTGCCGTGTTAAGTACGAGTTTTTTCGAATTTTCTCCGAAAATAGAGACTATTGCACCGCATGTTGCGCTGGTTGTATGATTATTAATTATATGTGTATTTCCCGGGACTTTTGGACACTTTTAGCGGTTTCTGAACCAATAAACCTGAAATTCGGAAATTATTATTATTATTATTATTTTTTTTTTTTTTAAAGGCATTGAAATAAGAAAATGTTGGTTGAATTTCAATATGAACTTCATCGTGTTTTTGCGGGAGAAGCGTATTTTTTTAGTTGTGTCCTACAGACTCTAAATGAAGCAAGATAAATAAAATGTTTTTGTGCATACGGGTGGCGTCTGTATCAAGGATTTGCCGTTTAGCGGTTTCAACTTTCAACCACGTTCCCAACACTTTTTCTATTCAGATTTCATGTTTTCACAAGAAATTCCGGGTTTTAAACACCCTTGCAATAACTTGGTTAAAACGCGTATGTATAAATTGAATTGTTCTCGAGGATAGGTGCCCAAAGCAAGCATGATGGATATTTCGACCACCGACCCCGCCGACTGCTTGTAGGTTTGCGAAAATCTCGGGATCTACTTTTCTAGCTATTTTGATAAAACTTTTTTTACTCGTATCATAGTGGGGGGGGGGAAATGAAATATCGCAACCGCAATAACTCGGCTAGGGACGGAGTGGAGAATTCGACTCTATAGAGACTCCGGTAATTGTACAGCTCGTGTGCTTTTCGATTTTTTTTTTTTTTATCTGTTTCACGGCCCGACGACCAGAATCCGTAATGTATAATAGCGTTCTAAACGCAATATTGTCATAATATCGACCTCGGCGGCAGATTAACCATATTAAGCGCCTACTTATACGTTATTATTATTATCGTTGCGTTGTTTTTTTTCGGTCGGTCGCTGACGCGTTTTAGGTATATTGATCTAGAAAAACGAAATACCTACTTACCGTGGTTGTTGTATAGCCGTGCGGAGACGGCGGCGGCGGCCGTAAATTACCGCCGCGATATCGGTCCGATGATTTATGGTTTCGAAAACGAAAGGAGTGCCGCCGCCGGCTCGTTGCCACGCGGTAACGTAACAAAAAAAAAAAAAATTAAAAATAAAAATAGGTATATTATATTAACTGGACATGTCTACGAGGAAGCAGTGACACGAGTACCCGGCGATGCATACGCGGTAATAATATAAGTACGAGCGCATAATAACGTGAAAGAGCAGATGTTTTTTTTTTCCGCCGTTCGGTTATTAGGTCCGGACGTTGTCGTTATGAATGGACGGCGTGCGTTTTATTATTATTGTTATAATACGTACACGTCATATTATTACTCGTGTTTCGGGTTACGTTTGGTGTTTGGAGACCCGGTATCCTTTGATTTATAACACGACGTTATAGACACCCCGCGCGCCGACGATACTACTGCAGACCGGTAACCGATCGACTTTTCCGCGGCACTTTCGAGGCGGCCACGTTTCTTTTTTTTCCGTTTACAAAACGGCCCGGCGACCGGATAATATTAAATTAATCGCGTACAATTATTATCGCCGGGCCGCGCACACGTCGACTACGGCGACGACGACGACGACGACGACGATACGTTCCTACGCGGCGTCAACATCGTATAAACAATCGGGAAAATACAACGAAAATCGTTGTTGGCGGAACGCGATTCGGAGCAAAGTCCGGTCGGACATTTTCGGAATGCCGCGATGTTTACGATTTCCGTCAAAAGTTTAAACCCCCTCCCCCCCAAACGCGAGTAACGAACAGTTACCGACATGCGATGCACCCCGTACAATATTGTCGAGCACAGCCGATCGGCCGACACTTAAAATAGAACAGTTACCAAACCGACTCGAAAATGTCACATTCCTGTATAGAAATAATAGTTCGAAAGCTGCCGAAGTGTGTGTGTGTGTATTTTTTTTGCTTTTTACTTCTCGTGTTACTTATAGGTACGGTTTTCCCCGACTGTTGTGAAAACGACAAGGAAAATAAAAAAAAAAAAAAACCTACTTCTTTAATGCGTCAACAAGATCCGAAATGCTACCAAAGAGTTCTCTCGTCGGTTTTTGATCGGATCAAGATTTCTGGTAAAAAAAAAAAAACGCAGATTACAAACGCAAAATAAATAAAATAAGAATACATTATCGCAGTAGAACCGCTAGAACCAATACATTCCTCGATGCGTTCAGAATCTAAAATACCAAGTCTCCGTACGTATACCAATACGCAATAACGAACCTTACAGGTTACGGATGCGACACGCAGAAGTGTAGGTAATGTATAATATTATCATTTTCTCGTTTTAAATTAAATTTTAATTGGCTGTTCTCATTACTAAAATACTAAAAGATTTATGTATTGCAATTTACCGCGATAGTTCTATTTAGTTTATTTTTGTATAAATTAAAAAATATAAATGGACGGTGTTCGTGAAATAAAGGTATAAGTCGCAGTTTACATGATACGTTGTTTTCGTGGGAACTATCACGGCGGACCGATTAGTAGCACAGACATTTGTCCATTTCATTTTTAATATCATGCAATTATCATGTGCGTTTCAAGTATAAGTCAACATTGGAAAATGTATTGAGCCAAAATGGTAAATTTGATATAATTCGATTTATATACATTTTTTCACGGGAAACCGCGGTCTAAGTATACATAACCGTTACTTTATTTTGAATAATTGAAAATTCACATTTTTTTAACCGAATTAACTTTGTTACGCCTTTTGCGATTTATTCAACTTTTAACTTAGTCAAGTTGAACTTTAGTCAGTTCGATGTATTTTTTATTAATTTCAACCTTTTATTATAGGCTTTTTTTTTTTTTTTTTTTTTTGAAAAACCGTGATAGACTTGAAAGTTTACCGAAAAAGTCACCATTTCGACTTACGCAGTTTTGCCGGATAACCGACGATATTATTGATTTCGGTTGTTATCATAACTCACGCATTATACTCTCGCGCGTAACCAGTGTCCTAAAAACATAAAAATACACTATCCCTATAGATTGTACGAACGGCAAAAAATGTCTCAATCAAGATCCAATAATTGCGTGTTATAGATACGTATCTTAAAAATACTCGTGGGCCAAGATAACGCGTCCCCGGCCCTGACAGCGACAGTTCGAGGGTACTATAGGCGTAATTAATACGTCCGTGTGTTTTATATATTATTATCGATACGACAAAAATGGAAAGTCGCATATAAAATAAGTCGTAGCTTCGTGTACGGAGATACGCGACCGGTTCGGGCGCGATGTCTGCGATGTGGCGCGCAGAGGAACGACAGGAATGCTACGCGCGAATAGATAAAAAAAAAATAAATCAATGAAAAAAAGGAAAAAATTACAAGAATAATTAAAAAATTTAAAAAACAACGTCGTTTTCTCGGAACGGAGCGGTCGGCGCGAGTCGGCGGCGGCTGAATCGTGTACGACCGGATCGCATTTTTATCGGCACGAAGAATTTTTTTTTTTTTACCCGCAATGTGAAATTTGTTCCCGTAGACCGGTGTTATTAATACCCGAGTGGCGCGTGTAACTAATCGGGAATAATTTTCCCCGTCGTTAAAATAACGATAGTTAAAGATTATGACACGTAATACAGCGCGTAAATAAATTGTCGGCGCAACTGCGGTATAAACCGCGCAAATCGGGTCGATCGAATAGCACACCCTGTACAGTATATTATGGTGCATTCTCGGCGACGACGTAAGCGGAAAATAAATAATTAATTCGAATCGGTAAAATGGCGTCCACGGCTGGCGTCTTTGGCAAACCGCATAATTTATATTGTGTTTCGGTAAATACGCCTGGAATATTAACGATGTGAATAAATCACAAACATCATAAAACATATAAAATTGTAGAAATCGATTACCGCACGTGTATTCGATTTCCGGAAAGCAACAACCGCACGAAAACCAGAAATCGGTATAAAAAAAAAAATCGATATTATTACTGTCTAAAGCTCGACCGAGGCCTCGTGCAGTCTATTTCGCGAGAAATTTACTGGATTGATTTTTCTGACGCGGTACACGAGTTTGTACACCTCGATAATACACTATTTTCAAAATTTATCGACATTTCCTTAACATCGAGGCTCTGCGGTCTGAAATGCACAACCGTTCTGACCTTAAAAACTGTACTATTTTATTGGACGAACGTTCGTCCGTTGCATTATCACTGTTGTCACACACTTGGATTTAAATATCGATAGGTCATCCCGAGTCTGAAACCCGTACAATAATCGTTTTCCGCGGCTAACGTCAGGGGCGCAATCTAATACAATTGAATAACAATCTATCTAAACATGTAAAATAACATGTCCCGACTGACTGACCGACTGATTCATCATTGCCTAGCCCGAACCACTGGACGGATCTGGCTGAAATTCGGCACGCAGATAGCTATTGCGACGCAGACAACCGTTAAGAAGGGATATTTGAAAATTCAACCCCCAAGGTGGTAAAACAGGGGTTTTTAGGCATATTTGGTACGAATGTCTGATTGCTTGTTTATCTATTTTTGTTCATTCAAGGGTTACCTTGGTGTTACGGATGATAATTTGATTGTCACGGAAAATAAAACTATTATAATTATTGTTATTACTATTATTTACATTATTAAAATTTCACAATAGAACACATTTAATATACCAAACCCACTTTTCACCTATTTGTTTCCATTCAATTTTGACACGGCCAAAACCATAAGTGCATACGGGTAAAATAATGGTTAAAAAAATTAGCACGGGCAACGCCGGGCGCGGGGGACAGTTAGTATTTAGATAATTTTATCGTACCTAATTCATAATGTTTAACTTTACTCGTTTAACCATTATAACCATTTAAAGTTGTCGCCGGAAGAGTAGGAAATAGTTATCAATTTATCATTTAAAAATAGATATTTAATTTATTATTACCCTTCCCTACACTTCCGGCCGTAACTTTAAACGGTTATAAATCATAAACGGTACCTCTGATACTATTGCATATCAACATTTTTAGACAAATTAGAAAAACATTAGAAAACATTAGAAAAATATTCTCTATTGGAGTCTGTGGGAAAAAGAGCGGTTCTTATTTGAAAAACAAAAGTGTGCAGATATATTTGAGGTATATGGAGGAGGGGTAAAAAATTAAAAGTAAAGTTTAAACGATGTCTACAATGGTTTAAAAAAATCTAAATTCACTTCTAGATAATTTCTGGTTCATGATACAAAAAAAAAATCACTCTGTATAGATATACTCATTTAGTTCCATCCGATCCATGATCTTTTAACACGGGATCGAACTTTTCCAATAATGTGGGGCCACTAAAAGCGCGAGGATTTATGCTCGTGAACAGCAACGTCACAAAGTAATAGCGTATTTATAACAAGCCTGTCGTCCTGCATAACCCGTATAGAAATTATATGGACATTTGAAAATCTCGAGTTCTTTAAACGTTGGACCATGGACCTGTAAAACCGGTGAGAACCGCCACCGCTCTATGTAAACAGTGTTCAGATGATGATAAAAGATGAGAAATTTTAATTTATCAAGATAAAAAAGAATGTATTTTTATTGTTTTACAACACAAAAATGACTGGGCAAATGTATGGATTTTCTAAACACAAATAAACGAAATTATTTAACTATTAAAAAATAATTATAAAAGGTAGTTTAATTTCTTTTTGTGTTAACTCGTTAAGTTAAAATTAAATTAATTTAAATTTGACTTAGCCTAACAAATTTGTTTATGTTCAACCTTCTTTTTTTTTTGAGCGTAACCAATAAATAAAATTCAACAACTGTATAGAATTATGAATTTCGTAAAATTGACAAGTCATCGGAGAATAAACAATAAACTGCCAAAGTTAAGCGCTCGAAATGTACTTACATTGACTATAAAACTTATATAATTATTAACTCGTCGATATCTATACACGTTTTATAAACTGTGTATAATATTACAATCAATGGCATTGTACTAAAACGTGCGAATTTAAAATTGAAACAAACTTTCGTTTGAACATCGATATTCTAGTTATTTAAACAATAAAAAAAAAAAAAAAAAAACGAAACGAAACGAAACGAAAATAGTCGCAATAGTATATTTAATCAACGGACGAGTGAAATATCTAAATGACTCGGAATTCTAGACGCTATAGTACGTTGTATACACAATGTACGTACATAAATATATATATGTATATAGAAACGTGTAAACAATTGTCCATATCGTTTGACCGGATAGTAAATTCGAACGTTGCGCGACCGAACCGAATGTAAACGCCGATTTGTGTTTTCTTAAAGAAAATAAAAAAAAAAAACCACGCTGAAAACGATCGCGCGCGGCACGCAGAACCGAGACCGTCCATAAATCCCGGAATGGGTTTCCTCGGTACGGGAAAAAAAAAAAAAAAAAAAAAACACCGCATAATAACGCCTTCCGCGTCCCGTTTCGACGTCATAATAATACACGCAACGATATCAAACCTGACATTATTATCGTTATTATTATGACGCGCGTAACCGTAATAATATATACGCCTCTCCGACCCGGTATAGGGTATCGCGTTCCGCCGCCGACGTCGCGGGCGGACGATTTATTTGTTTCTTTTCCTCCCGTGTCGCCGGTTGGCCACGCGTACAACATCCCTCCCCTCTCCCACCCACGGCTCGTAAAACGAGTTTGTTTTTTTTCCCCCGGCGCGAAATTACCGAACGGTCGACGCGAATCGGCCGGCACCTATAATGCAATGTCGGCAATACGAACAGCGCGTACGTTTCCCGCGCGGTTATTTTTCCGTCTTACCGAATACCCAAAACGCGGATCGGCCGCGTCGAAGAATGCGACCGATTCTCAGTCGACCGACCGTTCCGAAGTTTCGGGTTTCGACGACCGGGGCGTGCGACACGACACGGAGTTCAGTCCGAAAACCGGTCTTGGGATCGGGAGGGTTGGCGACTCGGCGCGGCGCACGCCCGGAATGACGGCGGCACGCACTTTCCGCCCCGTGCATTTCCCGCCCAACGCCTTTTTCGCGCTGTTTTCGCCCGTTACCGTAACCTTAACGTGCGGTTGAGGTTGTACGAGGTGGACTGTTATCGTTCAAAAAATTAAAAGTTATTTACAAATCGTATACAATTGTCAAATTATTATAGTTTTGATTACGATCGTTAACGATAAATGATTTAAGGTATACGGTTATAAATTATATTTCTCGTCGTTTTATACGTATGGATTTTCCATCGCAACTAATACGATACATCGGATTCGTGGATGGGAAGGCCTGAGGTTGGAGTACGTATGTTAGCAAAAGAAGTAAAAACCTATACACTATGCATGTACATTTTAATCGAAGTATCAGACAAATGAAAATGACATTTCTTAAAAAGTCAACAATTTAAAAAAAAAACATTTATTTACTCGATCGTTTTTTTCGAAAATTAAGTTAGATTTTGAATCATTTTGACTAAAATCATGTAACCATAACTGGTAACGAATATAACCAGGTTAATCGCCAAAACACACCTGTATAACGAAATTCGACGGTAAACGGCGAGAGGCGTCATTTCAATTTGTATTTGAACACACAGGCGTTTATACAGCCCACAAACCCCGTCTAGAATTTTCAACACGACTGCAGAAATACAATAATCCGCGTATTTCCCAACAAATTTTTAATAAACTGTCAAATAAATCATTAACACATTAACTGATAAACATGCATACGCGGATCATCAGGATTATAATTATCTACGTAATGTCTTAGTCATGGATTTTGTTTTTTTCAAATTAAAAGAAGAAGAAAATATTAATTTAAAAATAAATAAGTCATTCAAACCATAAATCACATCGAACAGCTTTTTAACGGACCAAATTTTACTTTAACATTGGATTTTAAATATGTACAAACGTATACCTTGTGTGGTCCGAATTACGTCACTGCCGCGATGAAACCGTTAAAATCAACCTTAATTTTGAATATGAATTTCGCAAGTGGCGAATACATTCGGTTTCACTACGACTTGAGTGATTTTTTTTTTTCTATCTAAAGACTACTATTTTCTACCGGAATCTCGCTCCAATCCAAGAATGACAAGAAATCGGTTTTTTTTTTTTTTATTATTTTGAATCGTGTTTATGCAAAAGACGGTCGGTTTTTGATTTACGAAATAATTTTCATAATAATCGGGATAAACCGGAACAAATTCTAATAGACCTTTTGTATTGTTCGAATTTCGGTCTACGTCGTGAATGTCAAGGTGTCTCAAAACGTCGTGTTTAACAGATTTTCCCTCAGAATTGTACTTCGTCGGCAATGGTTATTGTTGCCGCGAATACAAATATAAAATAAACAATTTGATGTTTCCTACTTTCACGATACTTTTCACCTACAACAGTGGCACGCCCGTCAGCAGTATCGGCTAATTACTACTACTGCTATTGGTGTATTATTATGGGTTTTTTTTTATTTTTCGGTAACTTTTTTTCGTGCATTCTCAAAACGCCCGCAAATTCAATTCGATTCTTCAAAAACAATAAACCGGGGTTCATGTTAATTTTAAAATTTTCCCTAAAATTTTTGCGTAAACGCGTCTTAACGCGATCCGAGGGACGGGGGAGGGTAGGAAATAATAATAATAATAAAAAAAACACGTATTGTTTATCTCTGCAGTTTTAGCGACGGAAATTATAACTTTCGCTCCGAATCCAAACCATTGAAATCGTAACACAATGAGTTACTTGATGTTTTGATTGTTTGCTTTCTCATCCGACTGCGGTACACAAATTATACGCTGCTATTATATTAATATTATTGTTTTCGGAACCCGCACCCGTTATATTATTATTCGTGTAGGTAAATTCTTGATTTTAGCCAATTTATGGGAGGGGAGGGAGGGGGAAACGCAATTCCCGTTACTTTTTTTTTTTAACCGTCGCAGTTTATATAATAAAATAATAATTATATTATATTATAAATACTTGTTCCGAGATAAAAAATAAACAAATATAATACGGCTTTGCCATAAATTACGAGGGGGGGGAAGAGGAGAAGGAGGAGGAAAGTAAATAAAAATAAAAAATCCATTAAATCGAATAATATAATATAATATACCGGCGACGTCCGCGAAATTCCGTGAAAAATTAAAAAACGAAAAACAGGTAATATTAATAAAATAATTTTGTATTTTTTCATGATAATATTATTATAATTTACGGAATATTATACGGACGGAGAAACGAGACGCGCGTAAACTGCCGGCCCGAACAATATAATATAATACTAATAATACGGTATTTTGTGTTTACGGTTTCGGTTTTCGGTATATTACGTTCCGGCGTTCGATTATTATTATTATTATCTGTTAACTCGGCTTAAAATCGTAAAAAAAAAAAAAAAAAAAAAAAACAAAAACAAAAAGCGAAAACCCGTATTAACGCGCGTAGTTTATAGTGATATTTTAGATTCGGAGAGTTTTTTTCATTTTTTTTTTTTTTTTTTTTTTTNTCGCCTCGACCGAGGGGTATAAATCATTCGGGCCGGACACGGACTCTAATGTCCTGTCCGATTCGGCCGCGAAACACGGCGACGTCACTAGCGAACAGTGTTATACTACGTCCGAACGCGGTGTAATTTGTGAAAAAAAAAAAAAAAACAAAAACAAAAAGCGAAAACCCGTATTAACGCGCGTAGTTTATAGTGATATTTTAGATTCGGAGAGTTTTTTTCATTTTTTTTTTTTTTTTTTTTCCAAACTCGTTTCACAGCTCTAATTATCCGTCCTGCAGTGGGTTATCGAAAGGTGTCGCAGACGTTCCCTAAAGGTTTCGACGAACGCGTCGGTTTACATTTGTCCCGCGCATAAGAGTTTCGGGACCGTCCCGCAATCCGAGGCGCCGGATTTTAAAAATTGGCGCGGTCGATGCCCCGAGTGTCACGAGTCATAAACTCCTACGCCCGAGAAA